TTGCAATAAAAAATCATTTCATTAAGGGCAAAATAGACTTATACATAAAAAACCCAAATGGGTCATTTGACCCGACTATTTTGAAAAATCCCCCCCATCTTACAATGGGACCCATGGACTGAAAAAAAAAGGGCCAAAAAATTAATTCTTGAGTACAAATAATGGGAAATTTAGGGACATCCTTGACTCATGTTTGAATGAGGTAGTTATGCTTGGGTTTGAGCACCATTTTTGGTAGAAAAGAATTTTTTAATAGTGATTTTTTAAAAATTGTGTATTCAACAAATAAGTTAATTTTGTTTCTAATAATTGAATTTAAGTCTTCAAAACTATTGTTTCAAAATAGATCGATTGAGGATAAAAAGATCACTATTAAAATATTCGCATTACAAATCGGACGTACAATAAAAACCGAGATGGAAGTTAAGCATTCAAGATATCATTTGAGACAAAGAATTTCAAATGTCAATGTCGAAGGAAGATCTTAGACTAGAAATTTCTAGGCATTTGTAAATGTATAAACACTTCAATTCTTAGCCTAAACGATGAAAGCTCAAAAACCATTTTTATGTGTTAAAAATTATTTTTATCATCACTTGCAAAAATTATTTTTTTATTAAAATTAAGCTCATGTTTGAGCCACATACTCATTTTTATTCTCATTTTTTACTCATTTTCAACCACACATTTTTCAATAAAATAATATTTTACATCATATCAATAATTTTCTTTTTTTTCAACCACATATTCACCATCGCATCACATAAAAAATGCATTATCTCCTAAAAAATGTGCATCAAACACATTCATTGATTTTCAAAATTATAATTAAAATTAGATCATATTTTGAAAAATATCATTACATTATTCAAAAAAAAAAAAAAACACTCACATCGGACCAAACAAAAATCAAAATAGACTAAACTTATGAAATGCATACGTCCGGATAAAGTAGTGAACGGTCAGATCATCTGGAAATTAGGTTCATGTAATGGTCATTTTTTTTATCGTTATGATGTTTGGTACACAATGGTTAGTTTCATACGTGGACGTCTGGTTGACTGCCCGATTTCACAGATATTTTTTGCTCATTAAACTTTATAAATACATTTATTTTTAGCATTAAAGTGAGATATTTTAAAACACAATTATATTAATCTTGCATCTTGTTTATTATCAAATCATTTATAGTGAAAATATTTTTTTGATTGATTGAATCAAATTCTTTATTCATCTTTATCATCAAAGTTTTCTCATCAGTAATTGAACCTTCATTTATTGCTATTCATTGAAGTGTTGCCACTTTCTCTCTTAATAATTAGTGTGTATGTCTCTCATTACTACAGAAGAAATGGAACAATGAATAGTATTTTTTGAGAATGTGTGGTTGAAATTTAATGTACGTGTATTGATTTGTGTGTAAAATATTTTATTGGGTGAATGTGCGGTGGAGAATCTTACTGTAGTAAACAATGTTTTCGAATAATGGGAGACAAACGAGGCCTTACTTTGTTTATATCATTAATTAAGAGAGAAGTTTCAAATTGTAAAGTCATTCATCTTAAATTTGTGGGTCATATTGAGGTCCTAGAAAGTTCAATAGTTTCGGTCGTATTGATGTCTCAAAAAGCTCAAGATTGTACAAAGAACGGTGATTTCTATTTGTAAGTCATTGAAAGCGTTGTAAAAGTTTGGATTGCGTCATAAGTCAATCAAATTTAGTGAAAGTGCATTGTTTGTGATGGAGAGTTTGATGACGGAGAACGTAAATTATTGTTTTAGATTGAAACTCCACAATTATATCATTTGTAAAATCACTTCCTTTTTATTTATCGCTCTTCGTATTTGTGTATATTACTTTATTGATTTATTCATTCATAACTTGTTTAAATTTTTCAAAAAAATTTTAAAAATCAATTCACCCCCTCTTTGTTAGTTATTCTTGAACTTTCAATTGGTATCAGAGTAAGATACTCATTTCTTTTGAAAAGATTTTACAATTTTGAGTAATGACTAACCACAATCTTCAAAATATTAAGGGGCATTCTACAAATCATCCACCTTTATTTGATGACACACATTATGATTAATGAAAAGTTTGGATGATGATTTACGTTCAATATATAGATTATAATGTATGGGAAGTTAATGAATTCGATCCATATGTGCCTAAAAAGATTATTAAAGAGTATGGTAATTCAGATCAAATAATTTCAAAACCTAGAGAGAAATATGATGAAAAAGAATGTTAAACCCAAAACATACTTTATTGTGCCTTAGATAAAAATGAATTTAATCGCAATAGCACATGTGATTCCGCTCTTAATATATGGCATGCTTTAGAAGTTACACAATTGGGCACTAACAAAGTGAAAGAAACCAAAATAAATATTTTGGTTAAGGAATTTAAAATTTATTTATGAAACAAAATGAGCATATTGTTGATATGATTATTTGCTTCACAATATTATCAATGGTCTCAAAAGCTTTGATAGAAAATTTACTAACGGTGAACTTGTGAGTAAAATGTTTGTCTCTCTCGAAGGATTGGAGCTCATTAAGGATGTTGATAGAAAATACCAAAGACATCAGCATTTATCCTTTGGAAGAGCAATGTGGAACCTTGATGACGTATGAGTTCAACAATGTCAAAACAAAGGAGAAAATAAGGAAAAGTAAAGAAGAAACAAATGAGCCTCCAAAGCGTCAAATTACTTTAAAATCGACAATTGATGAAGGTACTACAAGTGAAAACATGAGTGATCAGGAACTTGAGGATCTAATCCTTGTCAAGAATTGGAAAAATTTTCGAAACATTTGACAATTTCAAAAGAAAGAAGAAAATGGTGAAAAAAAAGAGAAAAAAATTATTTGTTATGATTGTGACAGCCTAGTCACAAGAATACTGAGTGTCCAAATAAATAAAATTATAAAAAGAAGGCACTCAAAACGACATGGGATGAGAGCAATGATGAAGATCATGATGAAAATGAAAGTTAAGAGGAAGTTACTAATATGTGTTTCATGTCAATCGACGATGAGGTAAATTCTATTGAAAAATATTCATATAATAATTTATTTGCCTTTTATGATGATATTATTTTCCTTAAGTCACTCAATTCTGAAAAAGAATCACTTTTTAAAATAAAGTAAAGAAAATTTTATAAATTCAAAAAGATTTTGAAAAATAAAAAGTTGATTACAACTCCCTAGTTAAAGAAAATTCCTCTTTAAAAGAGAAAGTTGTAGATTTCACTCAAATTGTTCACAAGTTTACTGAAGGTAAGAAAAACTTTGATTAAATGTTTGGTGAACAAAAATATGTTTTTGACAAATGTGGGATTGGATATAAACATTTTTTTTGAAACAAAAAATTCTTAAAAATTTATGAGAAAATTATAGCTACGGTACCAAGTCTTTCACCTTGTTACAAACTTGATTCAAACCTTTCATTTGTATAATCCACTATATCAAACATTTCAAAAATTCGTACTTGAAGTCCAAGTGGATGGAAACCTTCCAGTTGACCTTTAGTAGACAAGAGTAATTGATTTTGATCAAACATAAAATAGGCAAAATGGTAACTTTACAATTTTAAGATAAAATAATTTTATATCATGTTTGATGCACACTATTGACTGGAGAATGCATTTTAAATAGTGATTTGATAGAAAATGTGTAGTTAAAAAATAAGAAAAATTTTTGAATTTGTGTGTAATATTATTTTATTGAAAAATGTTTGGTTGAAAATAAGTTTTGAAAAAATGAATTTTTGTAAGAATGTAGATCAAATAGGGTGTTAAAAATTCAATAAAAAATAGAAAAAAATGTAAAAGAGCTACCACTGTTCGTCTCCTTCACTGTCAAGAGTTAACATAGTTAGCTTACACAACAGATTCCAGCTCAGTCTTTTAGCACCACATCTACAGCCAACTGGTTTAAGCATCACCGCCAGCTGCATTACCTTGCTGCCTATTTTCTGTTACTCAGAAATGCCTCCACTACTTTTTGTTGTAAATTGATTCCAACATCCTCCTTAATTCAAGGAGCTAACCACTATTGTACACTCTATAATATTCCTCTTGTAACTATTTATATCAGCAAAATGCTGAAGCATTCAAAGGAGTTGAATTATCATTCAAATATCTTGCATTTCTAACTTGGTATCAGAGCATTGACCATGACCAATGCCAGCAACACTCCACAAAATATTAATCCAAATTCTGTTCCTACATCCATCTGAGCAGCAGCATTGCTCCAGTGCAAGGAAGCAATCATCTCTCACCTTTTGGTGTTAATCTAACCCAAGTGGTATCAGTCAAACTGGATAAAAACAACTTCTTACTATAGCAGAACATGATACTGCCCATCATTCGTGGTCACAGCCGTGAAGGTTTCATTCTGGGGACAAAGGTGTGCCCTCTAGAATTCATAGGAACTGAAGTTACTGGTGAAGCTGGAACCAGTGTTGAAATGACCAAATATCCTGAATACAATTGATGGATGTCAACAGACCAACTACAAATGGGTTAGCTTTACTCTTCAAAAACTCCAGACATAGCCATGAGAGTCATGGGTGCTAGCAACTCAAATGAACTATGGACAGCTGTAAAGGAAAGCTATGGAGTCCAAAATAGATCCAGGATCACCTTTCTTATAGGTGA